ATGGATCTTTACTCCGTAATGGGCAACACAACGTGATGGTAGCTTTGTGTATATGAACATAATTTAATAGCTGGGCAATTAACTGCCATGGTGGATTAGCCCACGCATTATGTTGGGAGAGGTCTATTTGAAAGGCGTCTCCAATAGGATGATTTAAAGTCCTGTAATTCGATAGTTGTGCATTATGATGTACAGCAAACATATCTATGGTATGTGGCCCATATATCTTTTGAGCCAGTTCAAACCACCTGGGATTACACTTCCAGTCAGTGGCTAGTAACTCACGTACGGATTCATTAAAGTCCGGTACGAAGCGTGATAACATATCCGGTAAATGGTTATGTATACCTGGCAGATGTTTTATATCAAAATGAAACTTTGATATTATATCATGCCAGCGACTCAGTAATTGCGAGTCGGGTTTCATCTCTTTCATATATTGAAGAGATTTCTGATCACGTTCTTACAGAACACGTGCATAACCAGGAATTCGTACCATCGCTGTGCCTTGTCCTTTGTTATATCGGGACGTTTCATGTCAGCGTCTAACTTCAGAATACAACTCTGAATGGGCGTGTTCTCGGCTGGTTCATTTAAAATTGAACTCAGCCCAGGGCTACGCATATCCTTCTTAACAAGGATGTGACCAACCAACACACAGCTGGCCAGTCATGACAAGTGTCTAGCTCATGCTGGTGTCGCTGCAGGATCAGATAACTGGTACCTGTAGGGTCAAATGTCTGCATTGAGGCATAGATCCATTGCTGGGGAGCGATATTATTCGTCTCCAGCATGACCGTAAACGCATTTAGCGTACAAGTTAGCGTGTCGAGGTCATGGTTGTTTATAAACTCGACCTGCTTGCTGTTGGCATCCCAGTTCGACTTAAGTCGACTGATCTGTCCCTTGTACTTCTGGTTGTCCCTGTGGTCTTGTCCACGTTGGGCCTGAAGTAATTGGTCTATGCGCTTTTGCTTAATCGCAATAATATTCGCATAGTATGCTACGTCATTAGCATGATGCGCAGCATGGGCGACTTCCATTTTATTGGTATAGTCGTCGACCGATTTATTAAGGTCGGTCACCTCGTCAGAGTGGAAATCCTCTGCGGGTTGGTTTAAAGCCGTGCGGTCGAAGCGATTGAACTCGACATCGTTCACACGTCTGCGGGGATGATTAATATCCCTTGGCTTCGGAATAACATACCCAGTATTAACTGGTTTCCGACGATTACCCTCCCAATCGAGTTTTAGGGTTTTTTATCCCGAGCCTTAATGCTCATCCTTCATATGTGCTTAAGACACTGAAGCGTAAGGAACGCCCAGTCGACCACCACGGACCTACTGAACCTAAGCCCAAAACTCACAGGGTAACCGAGAACACTTAACTTCTCCGCCTGAGAAACATTAACTATATGTTATGCTACTTAATGTTTCGACCCGTTATTCCTCTCTCGCCTTTTGACCCATAATCAGCTTGAGTGAGCAACTTGCTTCTCTTGGGTCTCAAAGCTGGGTGGGGGCTGTGTAATAAGCCGGGCCTCCACATTAGACTCTATGTATAAACGTACTCTTAAACAGCACGCAAATTATAAACATACTCTTAATAGTACGAGGAACTTAAGTCTCCTAAATGTGCTCTTAATAGCACAAAGAACTTAAGTTTCCTAAAATGGGTTTTAATGGTTTTATTAAGTAAACCTTTTCCATTTAACATATCATATATTTGGATGAGGCCGTTGAAAGGCCTCAGTAAAATACGGAACTTATGAAGTTAACAAAGTTGACGGTTCAAGTGCTATTAATATCGGGTCACATCGAATTCTGACGACAGAAATCATCCTTCGTCGCACACGTGAAGTTACTACACCTCTTATGTCTTATGTGTTCAAGAATTTATTTCGGGAAGTACAAACATCAGGACATGACTTACTATACGACGGAGTTTGCAGATGACGCACAATACGATCTACCCCCATCGTAGCATAGCTTTCTAAGTGAAACACACGATTCAACGACTCTTTTTAGAGGTTTTAGGGTCTCAGCTTCGATTGTAACTGCACCGTTTACACACGACTATATCAATTAATATGCAGCATATTGAATTGCCGATGTATTTATAATCGTTTGTCTCTATACAGGTCGAATTGCATATAAGCAAATATCCCACAAAACTGTATAACACTGGGAATCCAATACCAAATTCGATAGAATCAAGAAAGGCTGAATTCCTTTCGCAAGAAGTCTTCGACAGCGCATCGCAAAGTTCCAGAAGTAAAAATAAGATGTGATACATAAATTCTTCTTTAATAGTTATCGTTTCGATACGTTACTGTTTATATTTCTTTCAGTGGTACTCAACTCCTATAGTCTGCATTTATCTTGATGTAGTCGTATGTCAAATCTGTTGTCCAATATGTGAGGGTTTCTGTATCGGCATTCTCCCCCACATTGAGTCTCAGATCGATCTCCCGATGTTTAAGAATCTCGGCAGCTCTATAAGTTATGTGCGGTTGAGAGCAATTGAGCTTTTGCAATTGCACGTGGTTATACGATTGTTAATATACTTGAAAGGCTGGGAATATGTCGTTGTCACCCCGCACAAAAACAGTACGTGCCAACACAGTGCAATCAACAGTCCATAATATATCACGAGGAAAATTCAGGTCAGCATCAAGCCTGGCCAATAAAAATTCGTGCAAGACGGATGTCGACTGCGTACTGGTTAGTAGCACTCTTCTTTCCAACTACGGCACAATTGGAATGATGGACCACAGTACGGTATCAAAGCCACGGCAAGAAAATTGGCCAATAACAAACTGACATTGGCTGTCGAAAGTACAATCAATGTGAACAACTATTCCGTTTAGTAAATTGCCAAACTTTGCACAAGTGCAGTATTCGCATACACTTCCATAATTCTCATACTTCACATAGCAAAAAGCACCTGCAAATTTATACGCACCTTTCTTCGTCAATCTCAAATGGCTGGCCATTCTTAAACAGATGCAGACTGTCTACAGTGTCTCCATTGTCTATGTAGTGCCAATGTGTAGGGTAAACGGGTTGTCAGTCCACAGTCCAAACACCTATGCATGCCATGACTCTTCTCATTTAATCAGTATTGCATATCACTTTGTTCAATGCAACGACAGAATAAGCCAATTGCCCGCAATGGTATAGCACTCCTTCATATCTGAAAACAGAATAATGTAGCAGTCAAACCCGAGGGAACACGAATAGAAACACAACGTATAGAAACGTATGAGAGACAGAAAACCGGCTCACGTGTCTGGTTGAATGACACGGGCTCCTTGGATGATTAATTGCACACACGAGTCTATGTCACTCGGCAAAGCAGCACGTGGAATTTAAGTACAGGAATAAGGTTGGGCCAAATGCAGTGTGTAATAGTTCACTCATACCATCTCGGCTGCTCAAATGTAGATTTACGTTGTCGCCGTTGAATTCGGCTCCGCTGTAACCCAATGCACAGACTATACGACCCCAGTTGGCGTCTTGTCCGAATAGGGCGGTCTTGACAAGCATACTTGTCGCTATGGCAACAGCGGCGATTCTCGCATCTTCATAATGACGTGCCTCCTGATATAAAAATATAAAACCATTCTTAAGTTTTCATGTTTTTAATTTTTGTCTTCAGCAAACTCATCGGAATGGCTAACCCATAAAGACTACAGAATGATACATTGGATCATAAGGAAGGTACATTTTTAATGATGAGACGACAGGAACATACCTCGACGATGATGCTGACGAACTTCGTGGCGCCTTCTCCATCCCGCACTAGTTCACGCGCCTAACAGTAGTACGATCCAGTCAAGGCAGTTGCACAGTGTCAGTACTATACACAAAGCATACACCATGACTTGGTATTAACGGGGTAAGGATTACGCCAACATTGAGATCACTGGTGCACAAATGTTCAGATGTACAAAACTTGGTGGAAACGCAGATATTAACGGAAACTTAAGAGCTCAGGGCAGGGCTTCCAACTCACTCTAAAGTCAACGCTAACATGCAACAGAACGCACAACAGCTCTGAAGTATACTGTAGATACGCGTACGTAGACTCCGTACACAGATTCCGTTATAGCGTATACAGGAACGTTTATAAATATATGATAGTACAGCCCGTGAATATAAGAACACTTACAAACCAACATACTACGACTGTCAGAATGTTTGATAAAAACACTTACAAAACAAACATACTACGACTGTCAGCATGTTTGATAAAAACATTTACAAAACAAGCATACACTACGACTGTCAGTATGTTTGTTAAAAAGCCCGTAGCAAGTGAACAGAATAGTCACAGTACAGTCAGGCCTTATTTGCAAAAGTCAGTCACTACGTCAATACGTTTGGAATGACTATGTATAGTAACACGACCCACGTACACATCCGAATACGGTCCAATATGTTAGCTTATACGAAAATTAATGCATGCTGTATTGCGGAACGTTTTATCACAACATATACTTGTACGCATACGCACTCATACTATCTTGTGCAAGTGTATACACATGTGCGTTACTTTAACCATGTGTGAACACATGTAGCTCGCATTCTACATCAATGTTCTTATAGCACACAAGCACATATACAGAACACAGACACCTCCGTAGTTACGCTGCCTTGTGTGTTTGTTCACTCACCAGTTTCTTTGCAATGCCAGTTACTCCTGCTCGAATGTCCAGATAGGCCTGGTCATCTTCTGCTACGATTTGCTGTTCACAGGCAGCTCCGTTTGCAAGAATCTGTCATACGTTTAATAAAAGTGCAACAAGAACGTCCATGGAACTATCAGTATAGTGTGGTGCGCCATTAAATCTCTGCCATAGTACTCAAAGCTACATGTAACTACATTGATAGCTTCAGCAAAACTTTAAACATGCCAATACTTCACAATGATTGGCAAATATATTCAATAGAACAGTATCGTACGCCCATCTGACGTATAACATATTGTGGACAAAAGCTCAGGTCTATAAGCACTTGTTGTGGAATCATTTGAGCTTGTAACGTATAGGGTGACGGCGTCTAGGTGCGAAGGCATTGCGTGCAGATTATTGGCAATTGGTGCATCGTACATCCACATACCACGAATGAGTCATTGGTCGATGTGTCGCCATCCACCGATATGCAATTGAAGGACCGATCCGCGGCATAGGTACAAATCTGCAGAGGATGTACAAACGCAGTCAAAGGGAATAGAGACAGCCATGAGAAGCTACAGCAAGAATCACACATGGGTCACAGAATTAGGATGAAATCATGGAAGTAGTCGAGTGTAGCGGATAATCATAGAGTGCAACCCTACAGACACACAGTAAGACGTAAGCGAATGAACAGAAGTAAGGCATGTGAGCGAATGATTGTCTTTCATCTGTGATATCCCATGGACTACACACACTCACCTTTTTCAACAGCGCAGCGGAGATATTGGCATCTGTGGCAACAATACCCAACATGGTGGCCTACAAATGGGTGCGAGAAAGGTATGTGAGACTATCAAACAACAATCCATTCACTACGACAGCTGCATATGATGAGCAGATCATCTACAAATGGGTTTGAGAAAGGCGTGTGAGACGATCAAACAACAATCCTTTCACTACGACAGCTGCATATGGTGACCAGATGATCATATCACAGAGGGGTGCTGATGATCTGACAGGGTACGCATCCCAGACGAACAGCTACAGCACCTCAGCAGTACTACGGATCCGAAAAGTACTAATAAAAGAACCCAGATATCACAACGAAGTACTGTTAAAAAGATCCAGATATCACAATAAAGTACTAATAAAAGGACCCGGATACCACAATAAAGTACAAATAAAAGATATCTGGTAACACAATAAAGTACTAATAAAAGGACCCAGATATCACAAAAAAGTACTAATAAAAGGACAGGGCACAGAAGGGTTGCAGCGAGCTGAGTTGAGGAATATAGGCAGGCGGTATTAAAGTTACTGAAAGTATCAATGAACCGACACTCACAACTAAAACCCTTGTCATAGACCTACCGATCAGGTTATAGGTTTAAGAGTTTAGTAAAACCTTGTCATGGACACAGCGATCAGGAAATAGGTTTAAGAGTTTAGTAAAATCTTGTCATAGACACAGCGATCAGGAAATAGGTTTTAAGATACACTGTCATGCAATTATACATTGCAGCCTTCTTGAAATCAGCGAACCAGAACACACCTGGTACAAAAGCTTATAACTTGTATATCCTATACCACTGAATAGTTTATATCTTGGATCCTAAACCATTGAACATACCATCTTAGGGTGGATCATTGTATCCTAAACCATTGAACTTACCATATTTGGGTGGATCATTCCGGCGCCTTTGGCGATACCGGCAAATCGCACTTCCGTATTGTAAGGGCCTTCCAGTGCGAGCGATGTGGTCATGAATTTATGCTACGCAGAAATGGAGTAATTCTAAAATTAGACCACCGCTGAGGAAACTTTGTGTCGTAATTCGAGCGAGAAGCTCACACTACACCACCCAAGTGGCCAAAGGATTGATATGAGAGCCTTACAACAGTCACAGGCAATGTCTAACTGATTGGCTGCACAGCTGGCTTGGCCAGGAGTGGACTGGAGCACTTGGTGCTAGCACTCAGGCACACATGAACGGCTCACCAGTCTGCGGAGAACTACATCCGCATGTACGGCACAACATACACAACCTGGGACATATGAAACAACCAAAACATACTTGATAAAAATACAACGGATATCAGTAAACAAGCACAGACTACTTCTGTGTACATACGTATGTGTCGGTGGTCATGATCCCCATGGCGGCGTCGTTCCATCCGTCTTCCGATTCCGCTACCACTGTGGCCAGTTGTTTAGTTCCTGGGAATGTGTGAATGATATACGCCAGCGCAACCAAGGCATCGAAATGAGTCTCTACTTTGAAGGTCGGCGCAGAGTGGTGGTTTATGTGTACTGTACCAATGTCAGTAACGAGTAAGATGTATTGTATATAAACGCAACGGTAGTGAGTGGATGACAAATGTAACCCACACACCATACAGTCCCACACCATACAGCAGTGACACCCAACAGAGCCCTCTGTGCAACAGCCGTAATATGGGGCAACACGTACCACTTGATACGAACAAGTAAAACCCCTCAACCCTAAACACTAAAACAGGCATGAAACAAGATGCTCCGAAGATTGCAATGCTCAATACGACCCTTTCATGAGACTAGCATCCGATTTGCATAGGCATCACCACACGCAGCCCAGCGCACTGACCCACCTTTCTCTATCTTGGCCAGATCCAATGGCTGACCAATGACACCTGTGGACAGCACAAGTGACGGCTTCTGTCTGTTGGCGCCAATGCTAATGTCACGGCACAGCTGGTCCATGGCGTGGGCGTCTTTCAGTCCTTGGTCTCCGGTGCACGCATTGGCACACCCACTGTAATGTGCGTTAGTGGCTACCCTTTATCAGCAGGTTGCTATGGCAACGAAGGCTTTGAGATGTGAATGATATATGCACAGCTAATGACATAGCCATCAAAATACACGGGAAAACACCTCTGGTGTTTCCATGACTTAAAACCCCCGTTTATCTCCACGCCGCAAAGCAGTGTAACGCTATTCCTGCGACACCCCAAATAGTCTGCCGAATTGTCAGAGGTATTTGGGATTAAAATTTCAAGGTTTTAGTATTGTCAGATGTATTGTTTTGGAGTTTAGGGTTCTAATATTGTCAGATGTATTGGGGGCTAGCTTGGCCTCTTGCGATGTATGACCACACATACACCCAGAAGATTTTAAGTAAATAGGGCACATGCTTCACACCTCTCACCTACCTTTCTGAGGCACGAATTCGCACAGACATTCATTTAACAGACACATCTCATTAATAAACAATATAATATAGCACACACACATAGACACATCGCATTAACAAACAATGTAATACAACACACAAACATAGACACGTCTCAATAGCAAACAATATAATATAACACATACACACATCTCAATAACAAACAATATAATAGAAAACATAAAACAGACACATATCATTAACAATCAATGTAAAATAACACAAATACATACACGCATCTCATTAACAAACAATATAATATAACACCAAAAATAGACACATTTCATTAACAAACAATACAATATAACACATAAACATAGATACATCGTATTAACTAACTATATAATAGAACACACAAACATGCGCAGTACCTGTTGATGAGGACCCCTCCAATCGCAGATGGTGCGTCTTTCAGATTGGCTTCACAAACAAGCACTGGTGCGGCACGGAACTTATTCTGCGATTGAGTCAATGTGCAGCGAATTCTTATCATGAGCTGAGTGTTGATTCTTTTAACGGTATATGCTGCATGGGTTTAGACTGCAACACATGCTGGGTTGCAAGTGGATTCGATTGCACTACTCACTGATCCAAATCACGTGCGCTACATGCGGAGGGCTCTTGTATACTCTGAGCAAAGATAATCTTATCTGTGTTCTAATACCTTAACCAACGTAGAAGGTGTACGGATACATTAATCAAATAGGTGTACTGGATCCTCTCCGCACATCTGCATGTGTATCAAAACACAATGATCGTTCTACCGGTCTCTCTACAGTCGGATTAGGCTCTACATCTACAACCGCCACTTACCTGAATTGTCCGCAGATATTGTGTTGTCTATGTCAGTGGGCAAACACAAATTATCACAAATGAGCTCACAATGCCTTTAGCAAATCAGTGCAGAATGCGCATGTGATACATGGATACATCAGATACAAATGTTCAAACAAACGTTCACGACAGGCCGCACCAGGGAACATCGATAAAAATAGTTACGCCATACGTATTCATCTGAGTGTAAAGATACAATATCATCTGCACGTTTATATATATGAATGCGATAGCACACCCTCGTGATCAAGTCGGAGCAAAGGACGAATGTAAGTTAACGCGTGTAATTGATTTGGTTGGAATACCTCTACTAGATCGTTCATTCGTCTATAGGGACTTGAAAGCGTTCATCCCGATCTGGTGCATTAGTATACGAGCTCTATCTGATCACATATTAATGGTGACGGAAACCAGTACACTGTGCGTATCTAATAATTAATGAGGCGCAGGTATACACTAACAGCTTCTCGCGTGCTCATAGAAACGTATCGACAACTATCAATCGGTTTATGGAAAAAAAAGCTGCCCTTGCTTTACGACTGGCGGTGTTTAGATTCATGTTCTGTGAGAGCTTAAACGAGCTAGGAAACTGCGGCTGCTTATGTCGAAAATACTATTTGGTAGCACCACTGACATATGTGTGCGTTCATCTTAAAATGTACATCTGCATTGTTCTGTTGCCTTGCAGCATTTCTCAGGCGAGCGTGTGAATGCCAATACAACTAGCACACTCAATAGTCTGTTACAATATATAGTCGATACTGGTGAAGATATCTATCATACAAGAATAGTAAAGTGAGTATGCAAGATAAATGGTCATTAAAGTAAAGTGAGTATGCAAGATTAATGGTCATTAAAGTAAAGTGAGTATGCAAGATAAATGGTCATTAATAATGGCACTGATGGCTAGCTGAGTGGAGGCTCATAATGGTGAATCGAGCTGCGCAAGTATTTGATGTGTATACACAAAAGTCCAAACCTTGGTAAACACTCCAGCAGCAGTGCATGGATAAAGCGACAGGATTGCTGCCAAGTCCTTGGCGTTGTTCTTCTTCAGTCCACAATGAACCGATCCTGCTAGGAATCCCAATGGGGCGCGTGCGGCTGACATCTTGAAGGTACTAGTCTTTTGGTCTCTCAGGTTTCAAGTGTCGAATGTTTACCGCGAATTGTGTGTATGCAGACTGTGCCGTACCTGACTTTTTATCACTGGGGCAACTCTTGCTTAGAATCGATAAATAAGTATTGTTTCAAACTTTCAGCACAACGATGCAGATATGGTACTGACAAGACACCTTGCACATGCCATGCGTGTATTTGTATTTGTCAGCCTTTTTGCGACGTTTAGTAAAATAATAACTTTTAAATATAACTGATGACGCGATCAGATTTAGTTTCTGACGACCAATGATATGAAAGGGACAACCACATATATGTGAACAATATGATTAAATATGGGGTGCCTATAAAAAACCATTCAAGAGTGTGAACCTGAAATCAAGTATTAAAACAAACTTTGAATAAAAAAAAACCATTGGTATGAACATGAAAAAGAAATATTTATTTATCACTGAAAGCGTAAAGCTGGTAGCCTGGAACTTTGGAAGTCCCTGTCGGCTCACGCCTCACGGCTGTCACCTTCAGAGTTCAGAGTTCAGTATGTCCGATTTTTGTCTGTCACGCAACGCTAATTGAGCTATTTGATTGGCTAGCTATGGCACGCTCTTTGGCCCATTTGCAGACCCCAGATTCGATTTGTTCCAAATAAAAGTTATAACTTTTATTTTGTAATAAGTTAAAGTTTATATGTAAACTACAAACTTTTACCTCTACGGCCCCTATCGCCTACGCATGGCTATACATATTTTCTTATTGAGGTTAGGCGGTTGCAGTGCCTGACACCCGGGGCCGCACCCCTGTTCCAATGTTCTGCCTGCCGGCGGCTTTATTTTGTATATTTTAGTGTTTGTTTTTTTTATGACAAAAAAACAAAACAAAAAGAAAGGCAATATGTTTTTTTTAAACAAATTACGAAACAACCTAAATATTATTTAAGTTAAAAAAAATTGTATTGTGTATTTACATACATACCAAATACATTTTTTTAATTTCTAAGGCAAAAACAAAATATGTACCACCTATTTTTTATAAATTGAATTTTCTTGTGAAAATTGCCGAGGCAGCCTCTCGGAAGAAACAAGAAAGAGCAAAAACAATATTCGGAGTTCGGAGTTTCATAAGATTTCTCCTTGTGGTTTTATACTCGCGTAGATGTAGTCATCAAGAGAAGAGGGGTCTGAGAGGACTGTAGTCTGTAGAACTAGATGACCTTATGAGAGCAAGAGCACTTTGTTGATTGGTTCAACGTAACAACAATTGTACGAATGCAAGCGGATAAAAAAAACTCGAAATACACCCTTGGAAATTCAACAATCTTCTCATATCTTCCAGACTCCAACGGTGTTTTCTTTATATACAACAAGAGGCTCACTCTCTTCACTACTATTTTAAAGAAAAGAAGAAAACTTTACAATATAGTCTGTAGTAGGATGTATTTTATATCAGGATCACTATCTGGTACCATACTACCATTGACTCGTTTGTTTTTAAATATATATATATATATATATAAATATATATATATATACATATACATACACTAGAGTAGTTTAGTCCTATTTTAGTAGTAAAATAAGTACATACATACCTCCCCAGCGCACTCCCCGATCAGTCGATAGCTGACCACTTTACAAAAGAGTACATCAGCTTTCATAGTTCATACACACATTTCATACTCCTCTATAATAGACAATACCATGACTCACATGCGAACACTAAAATTGTGGTCGCGTTCGCACTCTACTGCAGTATACCAATACATAGTGTGATAGTGAAGAACACTTGAGAGCAATTTGAGAATGACTCATCTCAACTCAAGCGAACACATTCCTTCCATACTCACTTTTTACAACTTTCTGCTGAACCACATTTGCGTATTCAAGGAGATTAGACGAAGTTATTATCACTCACAATACTCTTCACACATAAATACAAAACAAACAAAGTGATATATCAATACAACATTTAATATGTGCCCATTTTTTGCAATCATCGTCACCGCAGTTCCGACGGCCTACAGCGTATTTGCTGCATTCTTCGGCCTCTTCTCAACCAGTTGGTGGACTGGTCCCGGCGAATACGAAGTTGGAATCGCTACAAACTGTAACAGCACATCTGAAGTTGAAGATTCTATACGGACTACAGCTGGGATGCTTTTACAAATGGCACAGAAAAGGCCATGGGAGGACTTCTCATCTAATCTATCATACTTGGACTGGTGTGTTTGCTTGTCATGATCTTCAACGTGATCTTCGCATGTTGCTGTATCAATCTGGCTGGACCTATGACTGGTATCCTAGCCGTTTTAGAGGCTTCATGTCTAGCAGCGGTGTGCATAACAATGGGCTTTTACTATTAATGGCACTACCCTCGACTTACGAATTCAGTGGAAGATGCTTTTATCATCCTGATCGTAGCTGTTCCCTGTTCGTTCATCGCAGCATCGCTCACTGGCGTGCATTCGTACAGAAGTCGTGGCCAAAGCGATGACTACAAAGCATAAATTATTCATGAGTACGAAATCTACACTATACAAGGAACGAAATAAATGTTATCGTGGTAATACGACCAAAATGTCCTATTAAACCAAAATTGTAGCCTACGAATTTCCCTTATAAATCCAGCCTACATGAATTACAACCTACATGAATTACAAAATTTTCCTGATGTCTCCCTTAATTTTTATATTTTAACGCGTAAACCACATTCCCGCTGGTGTTTAGTTTGCTTTTATTTTATGGTCTTATAAAAAAATTTATGGCTCGCTTGAAATCGGTATAGTAAAGGTACTACACACTATCAATTCCCAATACCTCGTGCATCGACAATCAGTAATGTAAGCAGGTAAAACATATGTATCAACTCTCACATTCTCAATCTGTTTTCGTAGCATGTACCAACAGATGGAAACAATACACCATTTCGGAACAATATTGGTTTTTGGAATTGTAAATTCATTCTGTAACACACATCTATATGGTGCGATTTGATGCTAAAAGCTCACCTCAGAATGGATGTCATACGTCCAATATTAACAAATACCATAAATATAGCAGTAATCTGTTCATACACCATATTTACAAGGAAGCATGAAACATATTTTATAATCAAAATATATGTACTACTTTGGATAAATCACTATTTAAAATAGTTTGGAGAAATCACGCTATTAGCGCTAAGTACAATTTTGTGATATCCCCGAAGTAGCAAGTTGGTGAATATATATATATATATATGTATATATATATATATAGATATATATGATATATATATATATATATATATATATATATATACGTATATACTATATATATATATATATATAGATATTATACATATAGTACTAGTACGTACGTA